CACCCCGTGTTTTAACAGTGTCAAATCACCGGCTACACAAGAGACCTCAAGAGGACCGACCAACATAAACACAGATGCAATAGACCACACAGCAGCAGAGTACCAAATTCAATGACCTACCTACCCATCCCACCATTTTCCCCCCATCGCTTTCTATCCGGAGGTTGCCCCCCCCCCTCCATCCCTCCCTCGAAAGACCGGGCCAGCGCCCAATCAACCGACCAAATCAAATATAAGCCCCACACCAAGAACACTCCCACCCTTTCGGCGATCGATTCAGCTTCCCCAACACGCCACCGCGGCCACACGACACGACAGCTCAGCTCTCTCCATGAAGGCCTCTCGCCTCGCATGGTATGGCCTGTCGCAAAAACTACAGTGCCCACGAACTAAACACTCCGTTCTAGAGGCCGCGTCGACCGTCTCCTCGTGGAATGGGTAGCACGGCATTGTGTCTTTCGGCCCAGCGAAAGAGAGAGCGGGGGTGGGGTGGGGGTGGGGGTGGGGGGCAACCACACAGTTACCTAGGTAACACCAACAACAAGAGAGGAGAGGAAGTCGCCCAATAAAGAGAGAGACAAAACGACAAATAAGAGTAAGAGAGGGAAAAAACACAACGCCGGCTACCAAAATGGTGAGCATCATCACATAAACCCCCCGCCAGATATAACCCCCCCCGACACACCCCCCCTGCCTCCTCTCGTCCCACGAACAAGCGCAGCAGGGTCTCAAAAAACAAATAGACAAGAAGAAGAACGCCGCCGCATCATCACGTTCCGCGCGAACCTCCACATCGATCGACCTATCCGTCCCCTCGCGCGTCAATCCGGTCCTTCTCCCGTACCCCGCGTTGCCCCGCCGCTGCCCATGATACTCCCCCACCCCAACGCCCCCCCGGTCGAGCCATGCGCCGGAGGGTTTCCGGACTCATCGCCAGGGTCTCCCTTCTGGGACCCCAGGGGAGGTGTCCGCCACGTCGCCGGGTTGTTGTTGCCGCTGCTGCTTCCGTCGGCGGCCGCGTTGACCCCCGCCATGCCGCCGCCGCCGCTGCTGTTGCCCAGCTCACTTCCCCCGAACGCGTGCATCGAAGACATCGCGGAGAAGCCCGAGTAGGACGAGTGGCCGGACACGTTCGACCCGAAGATCGTGGACGAGTCGTCCGGGTTGTTCGCCAGGGATGACGACGCCCCGCCGCCGCCGCCGCCGCCACCGCCGCCGGCCGACGAAAAGGTGCGCCCTCCCGGCACCGAACCGCCCCCTGGGGAAGAGGAGCGCCGGCTGCCGCTGCCGTACACCGGCTGCTCGTGTCGCTGGCGCATGGCCTGGAGCGGGGGCGACACCTGACTCGAATGAGAAACCTGCCGCTGCTGCTGCTGCTGCTGCTGGGGTTGCCCGGACAAGGAGAATCGTCCGTGGTGGCCGCTCCCCGCCTGCCGGTTTCGGGAGCGGTGGGCAAACAAACACCGGGCATACGTACGCGCGTGGGAGAGTGAGATAAAGCACCATGTGGGACATGAAACGGGAAGGCGTGTCGCCGCCGTCGGGTGTGTTCTATGGTACATACGTATGCATGCGAAGGCGTTCCGCCTAAAAGACAAGAAAGACCTCCAACACGGGGCATGGCGCTCCCACACGAGGGGGTACATCGTGCGCCTTGCGGGAGCGGGGCTTAAACTTCCACAGGCAGTGGGACATGGCCGTTACTGCTATCACCACCCCACGATTAAAAAAAAACAAAAACAAAAAACAACAAGTAAGGTGGGGCAAAACAAGTCAGCGTTTACGACCACCCTCGCCAAACAAGAGCCTCCAATCGCAAAAAACGACCAGAAACCTGCATTTGAACAACAATAATAGCAATAAATGTGCATATAAAGAAAGCATCGCCACACGTTACAGTCCAACCCAACAGGACGAAACCGCACCTGTCCCGGGGACACGTTATCTGCCTGAACCCCCCCCCCCCCCCCCCCCCCCCCCCCCCCCCCCCCCCCCCCCCCCCCCCCCCCCCCCCTCC